ATTTTTGTGTAATGGATTGCCATTCTTATATGCTCTCAACATCATTCCTCAGAATGCTTTGTCACAGTTTCATGACAACTCTGCTGCTAAGGATTTCTTCTAGTAATAATCTAGTAGATGACAGCTATGTTCTAAAAACGTAATAGAATTTTTTTTTAACATTCGTTCTTTGAATCAGAGGCTGATAAAGGGCATATTACTAACCTCTGCTAGTTAAAATAAATGGGATACACTTGGATGATTCTTGCTTAATCACCACACTGCTTTTTTCGGTGACTGGCTGAGAAAGGGGACTAGATAGAATCTTGTTGAGTGTTCTTTTTAAAACAAATACATATCTTTAGAAAGGCAACATGACATAACAGTATATTAATTGGGCTTATATTTCTTCTTAGTAGAAACCTGACAGTGAAAAAATACTATACGAACCAGAGAAAATGAGGCCGGAAGTTGATTTGTTCATCTTTACCCTGCTTTGCATGGAGGAGAAGTATTAGCATGTACTTCTTAGATTCATATTAAACCCAAAACATACAAAAAGACTCTCTAAAAATTAACATACCTGACTTTGTACTGACATTCAGAATTCATGAAAAAAGTAAAAAGTTCCACAGGCAAGTTTAATGTGGGACAATAGCTATGACCGTAAATTGTGGTAAAAGCTCTTTAGACCTTTTAAATAAAGTATCCCCCATATGGTAGACTTAAAATTGATTTGAGGCAAAGGAGAAATAAGCAAGATAGGAAATACCTGCGAATATTTCCTGCTTTCTAGAACTGGACTCTCAAGGTATCTAATAATAATAGTATAATAATAACTATAATAATTCCTAATGCTAGCTACTAATATGTACCTACATTGTTTCAAGTGTTGTGCACATTATTTCAAATTCTCATAATAATCCCATGTGAGATAGGGTTATTTTATATACGTGAGAAATCTTGCCTATCTTCACACTTACTGATAATGGATGGAATTTGTGCATTACTTTGTTTCCTCTCCTTTTACTTATTTTCAGCGAGATTTTATGATAGCATTGGTAAGTGTACTGGTTGTCTGAGTAC